GTATGTACAGGCACAGAAGAGCATTGCTAAATGGAGAGGTAAGGACAGAGGTGGGCGGGGGGAGGGGAGGAGTCAGAGTTGAGGCTGCGAGGGGGCTGCCCTAGGAGGTAGCACATTTTAAAGGGCTGCAGAGAGCCAGCGCCCCAAGAGGATGAGGCTGGGGTTTTGGTAGGCAAACACCAGGCTGGTGGGGACAGAAACAGAAGCCCTGCCCTGTGTGCTTGGCCAAAAGCAGCTGGCAGAGCTATCGTGGGGAGGGGTCCGGGCAGCCGGGGCTGTCTGCAATGGGCTATTTATCATTCACACAGCAAGACGGTTTCCTGGGGGTGATGAAGATTTCGTATGCAGATTGTGGTTTTGGAGACAAAAACCAAGGGCCAGTTAGGCTGCTGTCATTTCTGAAGCAAAAGTGTCTAATGAAGACTGTGTACAGAATACGAGAGTTAATCAAAGAGGTTGATAAACAGATGCATCTCCTAGTCCTGGAATGGCTCAGACCCCTTCTGATCCAGCAGGAAATTCTTGCTTCCATTTCCTCGATGGTTTTCATCCCTCCCTCAGCAATTATGTGAGCCAACATGGAGGCAAGCAGAAATGGTGGCGGGGGAGGTAGGGGACTATGTACCTTTGGGGGAAGGTAGTCATGACAACAGTCACAATAGTAGCAATGGGAATCACAGTCGCGAATGTTTCCTGAGGACTTTAGATGTGCCAGGCCCTGGACTAGGTACGCTGATTCTCACTGTAATCATGCAAGGAAATTATTATTCCTTCCCCAGAGACGAGAAGCCAGTGTTTCCCAGACTTTAAATAAATGCTCTATGTCACACAGAGGATAAATGGTGGACTATGATAATATATGGTATTAGAGTAACACACAGTAAGTAGAATCTGTGGCCTGGGTTTCCCTCACCACAGCTCATCATAAAATGAGAGATGTGAGCCACATTAGTCCCTTGCCACAAGCTGGGGCCGGGGTGGGGAGGCAGAGCTCACGGGACGGCTGGCTCTGTATTTCCTGGAGAGGTTGAGGGAGTGGCTGTGGAATGCAATGAGACATAGAGGTAGAGTGGTGAAGTTTCAGGGGAGGGGTAGCTATATGGTGAAATTCAGATTTCCTCAGTATGTGCAACCAAGATACACCATTAGGAAAAGGGAAGGCAGGGGCAGTAACATCAAAAGAAATTCATGGTTTGGCTCACTTGTTCTCACTGTGAATTGCTGTTCCTGTAGATTAAAATTCTGAAGTCATCAAGCTGAAATTTCAGAAATGGTCCCTTTGCCCATTATTTATTGCAAGTTGGAGAGGGACGTTTCCTTACTAAACCCTGCTACAGGGAGCTCGCTCGCGTTTGAGTTCCTCTTTTGCTCCATTCCTCAGCTGCCAGATGCTGAGCGACTTCCGGCAGTATTTGCACATGCAGTCATAAGCCAGCATCTGGGTCATAAAGGAGAGGGAGTCTAGCCTGAGAGTATGTTCTCCAGCAAGGCAGGAGCATTCTGTGCAACTAGAATTACGATGAATGATTAAGCTGGTAGCTGAGTCAGACTATAGTACTTGACCGAGGTCACAGGGGGCCTGGCGGTTGGCCTGGATAAGGCCATCTGAGGGCCAGGGTGGTGAGGTGAGTGGAGTCCCAG